GCCAGCGTATGAGTACCGTACAGTACATCTGGCGTATCTCGAGCGTATTCAGCGTGTGCCTAGAGTATGCTTATCGTATAAAGCATACGTCCGATACGCACAAATTTTTTGAGCATGCTTAAAAAAAATTTCTGCCTCGCCGTATGCCAGCGTATGCGACCGTGCTTGAAACGTATACAACCTATGCCTAACGTACCCCTAGCGTATGCCAGCGTATACCGGCGTATGAGTGATATTTTTCATACGCTGGCATACGCTAGTAGGATACGCAATAGTGTGACCGGGCCTTTAAATAGTACATGTAAGTAATTAATAAACTTACATAAGGGTCTAGTATGAACACAAGCTGGTCTCCAGTGTATGGATTTATAGTTGTAAACTTCTCTGCACATGGGTCTTTGTCTTTGAAGTGTAACTTAACAAATGAACGATTTGCACTTCCACCATCAAAACAACAATAATGGACTATAAAACCACCTTGCAATAGCCAATAAACAGCCTTCCAGAAATGAGTGTATAGGCCTGTTGCACTTGCTTCTGTGGTTGGCCAGTGAGCAAAAGGAAACCTGAATCCTGTGTGGCCAAGAAACACGAATTGAAGTACACCTTTCCATCTTCATCACTTCCTGTCATGGCAAAATATAAAATAGTTATGTTTCAACTTTTTTAATTGTAATTGAAATAAGCTTTGGCTGCCAGGCAGTAAACAGGTAATAGGAGAATGTCGGTTACACCAATCATACTGGACCAACATACAGTATAATCATCTACAAACTCATCAGGGCCATTCATTTAGCAAAATATGCCATATAGTAATTAACTTATTTTGTCTCCATATAAATGGATCGACCTATATTAGCTCTAAACCAATTAATTCCCCTCAACTAGTGACATCATAATTAACAAATTGAACATAAACTATATATAGGTTAAATCATAGTAATTGTAAATTGAGTATCATACAGTATGTACCTTCAGTGCATATTTGCTCAATGTCCTCATTTTCTTGACCAAGGGCAACAAAACCAACAAGTTGGTTTGATCCATTCACTTTCTTCATTTGCAAATCCTCCTATATAAAGTTCAAGACAATGACTCATCAATTAAGAGGCAATGTATGAAAGTATACACACCCATTAAAATCCTATAATTAGGAAACATTTATTAGCTAGATTCAACCATTCAATAAAAAGATCAATTAAAAGTGCATATTAAACACATCAGCTAACCCTAATTAGAAATTACTAATAAGTGAACCAAATTTAATCATTACAAGTGTATTAATAGGCCACCTAATTAATCCAATACTGGCACCAACACATGCATTGCTTAAAGATGCTGTACATTCTGTTCTGTGCATCACCATGTGTATATTGTATTCTCCTGCTTGTAATATAAGAAGGTAATAAATTTTCTTGCAATGCTTAATTGTGATACTTTAATTGATAATTTATATTATTGTGGAAGCAGGAAAATATATAAAATTGCTAAAACTTTGTTGATAAATTCCATTGTTTTTATAGAAAAAAATGTATGCAAAGCTAGATGTGTGCTAACCGGACTGTACAGCACCTTTAAGCAAAACCATTTACATCATATTACATTACTTTCATATACCTGTATTGATATTTCATCTAAAATGATGCCACCACATTTTCCATCTTCAGATAGTTGAATTTTAGTAGCTTCTTGTTCCATCCACTGAAGCACCTCTTCATTGAAACCTTCATGCTGGGGAACAGCATTCTTGTAATATTGAAGAAGTCTACCAGATGGTAGTCTAAGCATGCCACTTTGAGAAAGTTCACTATAAGCCTCTGGACTTCTGTTCCAAACAGATAGGCACAATCGAATAACCCTACAATTAAATTGTAATAGTTTATAAACTAATTTAAATTATATGTATTACCACATACACGTCTATCAATTACATACAATAAAAATGATAATATATAAACAATGGTGGCAGTTTGGATAAACCATATGGCCTATCGAATGTGAGATGCAGGCTGACTGAAACTCATTAGAATAACAATATAACTCATTATCTATGTTAGTCAACGTTTATTCATAAATCTGGTTGTTTCACCATCACATGTGTATTGTATTTCTGCCAAATCTACCAATAGCAATATCCAGTTTCCCTATTGTTCGAGTCACAGATAGGTGACGCTCCTAAAACATTGCTACTGGTTAGTTGGGTAAAAATACAATTTACACATGTAACGGTGAAGGACCAGATTTATGAATAAACGTTGACCAACATAGATAATGAGTTATATTGTTATTCTAATGAGTTTCACAGCCATCTCCCCTTCAATAGGCTATGGATAAACAGCCTGTAAGGTTGTACATGTATATGAGGACCTGTAATATATGAAAGAAAAATTTTAACATTTTGATGTCCTTATAAACTCCAAGTTTACAAGGTATAATCTCACAGACAGCAAATATTTATTGACTATGGGAGGTATAAATGATATATAGAAACCACTGTAAAATTCAAGGCTTTCAAAAGGGGGCTTCTAAAATAGTGGTAATATAATAATACAAGTCGCCCCCATCTCAATCCTGGCAGTTCTACATACAGTACTGAATATTACATCATCCTATAACTTATGTACTGTACTCTTAATTGTTTACTGTTTAGCCACAGTGAACTGAGGCATAGGAGAATGGAGCTGATGTTTTCCAGGAGGGCAGTTGAAAGTTTGGTCAAATCTTTATGGAGAATTGTACTGAAATAACCTGATTTTAACATATTTTCTGATAAATCTGCCTAAATTTTCTTGATTTTTCCTAGCATTTGCCTGAATTTCCATGGTTTTCCAAATTTTGTTTTGCAGTTGCTTCCTCTGCCCCCTGTCTTGTACGCCTATGTGAACAGGTTAGGGCACAATAACCCAGGAAAATATGATCTTGTAAACTTGCAGGGTTACATATCATCGGCCATGTTGTAAGTTTCTCATAAGCCTGGGAGATACAAGTTTCTTTTTATCTTACAGGCTTAATTAGTAGAAACAATATTACAACAATTAACATATAGTTGGGTTATACTTACATAGGATGCCATCTGTTACCAGATGATCCTTTAACTGAAAGTGCCTTTGCCTGTTCCTTCCACATTAATTTAAAATTATCTGGTACTTTATCTTCTCCAACTTTTTCGAATATTTTGGTGAAGTCGTCATTATCTTCATTATCAAACACTAGCATTCCTTCATTAATCTTTTTTCGCAGATACCTTTCACGTCGTAAAGCGTTGTTCTTCAGCCTTCTTTCTTCCTTGAGTTTCTGAATGAGCTCTGCCCTGTCCATCGTATCCTCTCTTCTCTTTCTCTTAAGGTTCTCCTTTGATTGTACTTTGACGGGATCAGCACACAGGATTTTGTGCCAATTTTCTCTAATTGTATTGCAACTGTGGCATATCAATGATTTTTTTGCTATGTGAAGAAGTCTCTCACAATATAAAGATTGGTGACGACTTTCGAATGTATTGTTCTGGTCACTGGACCAGCGCTCACAAACACCAGTCGTTTGGCCATTAATATCTCTTGATGCCCTTTCTGATGATACTACGAAACCCCTGCACAAATCACTCACAGTTACTAAAAGCATTAAGTTATCTAAATCCCTTACACTGCTTAGACGTGAAAGGTGGTTGTATGTTGCCACACGTTTTCCAGCTATGTTGACCTGAAAATCCAGATCTTCATGAATTGTCAGTTCGATAACAACTGGATTTCCGCCACATCGGTGACGCCAATTCACATGAACAAACAGGACTACTGCATCTGCAGGACTTTGTGCACTTCGATAAAACCCGTGTTTTGGTCGGTAAGTAGTCTTCACATATTCAAACGACAACAAGCTGAGAGGACAATTTTGCAAGATGTCATAACGCGCAATGTTGATATTACTTTATTACGTTTTAATTCGTCTTCCTTTGGTCGTGTCTTAGATTCCTTAATCATCGGGAAAATACGTTTAACGATACGGCATATTTCATAGTGGGGTGGATAAAAATTTTCCTTCGATACCACATCTTTTAAATAATGCTGCAACAAGTCTTCAACACGTACATATTGATTTGGCACCTCTGAATAATTTTGCAAAATCCTATCAGAAGACAGATGTGAAAAACAATTACATGAGCAAACCTTTCTACTGATATTTGCCGTGAAAGATAAAATTAATGTGTATTCATATTATATTTTCGAAATATATCCATATTCTTACCATTGGACGACATTGAAACAGTGAGTTGTACTCGAGTTTGTTTCCTTGTTGATATTATTGCTACCGGTAATTATTCCTAAAGGTTGACGGCGTTCATTTGACACGTCACTCATCGCATAATTATTGGTCCACTCAAGTCGGGGCATTCATGATACGACAAACTTTAAGAGTTTCATCCCTTCATGTCATTATTTATATCTTACCGCCTTTTACTTCTGATCGCGCGCGTCTACCACGCGCGTGTCCTGCGAACGGGTTGTCAGGTTCGAAAGGCGGTGCTTTTATATAAGCTAATAATAGATCTTAACTCAATAAACTGAAAACATACAACACAAATCAAGTTATATGTTGTTATTATATGTTCGACTATAAGAGTATTATTATTATTATATGACATATTAGTGTTATAATTCAATTAAAAGGCAATATAAAGGCACTAAAATAAATAAACTGAAAAACATACAACACAGACACAGATCAACGCTTGGGCTCCCTATGTAATAATTTATAGTATTGCCTCATTCTTTAAAAACCTTATTCAACGTAGGCTATAATAGCCAATAAACTATATACACTATATGTACTCATGTACTGCATACATATAGACTATAGAGTATACACTATATATTTAACATATAATAAGAATGGACATATCTCAAAGCACATTGCTATAAACATCTATAGAACGAACACTACAAACTCATCGCCTTGGCACATCGCCACACAACTAAACTGAAAGTATTCATTTTGACTCCTTGTATAAGTGTATCAGTGGGTTATTAAAACTGCTGATAAATTCATGAAATCATATTGTTTCAGTACCTTTATATCGAACACTAAACAGCATACAGATCTAAATATAAATAATGCCTTCAAGTATATCGCCAGAAACAAATAAAGCTATCCTTACCTGAATTATTCAAAATAGCTTTGCATCTTGAAAATCCAACATACTGCATATAAACCCGTCACTTTTAATAGTTACTTCGTGAAGACCACCAAATTACTCGCTCATGCATGCGGTGTTTTCCAGTTCCGACACAGTTATTCGATTCTACTCGGATTGTTTTCGTAAATCGCTGTGTATGCCATTTTGTAACTGTTACGCCATTTTGTAACTGTTACGTCATTTTACGTCACAAATTCGCCAACATCACGACACAAAATCTCGGCTGAATGCAATATATACATCCGACCGGGAGACTGGGACGACATTAGTGTATCAATGACATGCAATATAACAATGAGTAGTTCCGCCTACGTAAACTGTAGTGAAACGAGTAGACTTATAAATATAAAACTATGTCTATGATCTGTTCTTTTTTAATAAAAATCTATATTGTTCTGGTAAATGTTGCGCATTGTTGTCAGAATTGACTGTGGTTGCTGTATGCCAGGACACAAAGCAACACTGGAGTCCTGGCATACAGCAACCATAGTCAATTCTGACAACAATGCACAACATTTACCAGAACAATATTTAACAATTATTGAATGAGGTTGAGCACGATATGCTTGATAATTCTTCATATCGTGCGAAAACCGAATTCAGTAATTGTTTTATTATTTATTTAAAAAATTCAAAACAAACATTTGTATTTTATTTGTATTAAGAAAAAAACAATTCCTTAGTCCTTCGGCAGCCGTCGTCGCGTCATATCAACGGCATAGTAATATGGCGCAAACGCTTCCAATTTTTTGTTGCATGCCCATTTATGGGCATGCAACTTTCATATAGCTCTAAATTTCGTGTCCAGTTGGGCGGACGGACGTTGTACCGGCGGTGGTAAATCACGTGACAGATTCGTAAAATACGACAAATACCGAGTTTTTCTGACGAGCATTTTCATGTGATGTGAAACTTTAATATGCACGCTTTTGTTCACGGCTTTCGTCCAGGAAACGCAAAGGAAATATCGATTTTTCCTCGAAAATTTACGTAATTTATAGCCTTAGAAAAATAGATCGAGGTAAGTAGAGCTTTGCTGTTTTTACTTTACCTTATATTCTGTTATTTATTTTTATTTTGGTGCCGTTGTGCTCGCACTGATTATTTATCAATTATCAGGCGCTTAATATTTATATATATCGTCTGAAAGGCCACGCTATCAAAATACTATTTTTTTATATGCTCAAATTGAAACGAAGTCATTGTGCTAGCACTGATTATATTGTGTGCAAAACTTCAAAACTACATCATATTCTGTAAATAACATGAAATATATTAAAAAATCAAACAAAATTCTCATTAATAATACTATTGTCTATTGAAATTTAATACAACGAAATAGCGTTCTATATCGATAATTATTAATTTCAATCATATATACAGTCGAGATCATAGTTTAATAATTATTTTCAATCTATTATAGTAATTCACTGTTTCCACGGGTTTTTATACTTTCAATAAAGCTAAATTTGTTTAAATTTGTACGAATACATAAACATTGTTTACTTCAAATAGTCAATCAGTCGTACTAACCTTGACCAGTTGACCTTGTTATTACCGTCCCTTGCAACTACAGATGAACAGTCGCTCATAAAAACATTGCTCATTCCTGTGAAAATCTTAAGTTTTCTTATTTTGACATAATAGCTATTTTTCAATAAATATATTGATATTAAACTTATTGAATCAATATTTTAAGTTTCACGCCAGTTGTAACAAAATTTATAAGCGCTTGCGGACCATAAAGTCGGATTTTCATTCAGTGCAAAATGTCGCGCGATCGACATTTTGCGATCAATTTCTTTTGAAATACAAGCAGTCAAACGCAAACGGATCACGTTGACTGAGCGGATTTGAAAAGAAAGTGATCGCAAAAAGTTGATCTCGCGATATTCTGCACTGAATGGAAATCGGCCTGAAGCTTTATGAGGCATGCAACATGTACGCACTGCGTACCTATTTTTTTCATATTGACTCTTTGACGTCATTTTGCTAATATGAATGTGAAAAATCCGTATTTCGCTAGCCATTGAGTTGATATGACAATTTCACAGTTGGCTGTTAGCCAATCAGAAACCAGGAATTTTTTAAATAAATAATAAAGATTTTTATTAAAAAAGAACAGATCATAAACATAGTTTTATATTTATAAGTCTACTCGTTTCACTAGAATATTGCTTGTCATTATAATTGTAATTGTAAACCACTGTCCTTGTAGCTATATCCGTAGAATAGTTTATATGATTTAATATCATATACCTGTCGAAGACTGCAGACTGGCTGTCGAAAGCTCGTGTTTTAAATAAAAATTTACGATCAGAGAACGTTTCAGAAACTTCATAATAATAAATGTTATACACACGAATGCACAAACATAACATGGTGTCAGGAGTGCGATCTTGAATAGAAATCGTAGAGATTGGAGAAGTTTATTCAAAAAATGGATAAATTAAGACAACCACCTGAGTTGCAATTCGTTTCGAGCGATGGTGATTTGTCTGAGCGGTGGAAAAGATGGATACAAACAGTCAATTTATACATGGATGTCTGCATGAAAGACGCATCTGAGAAAGAGAGATGCAGCGCTTTCTTATATATCATTGGTCAAGATGGCAGAGATATCCACAACACATTTGATTTTGAGACGAGCGAAGCCGACAAAATAAAACCAAATACTAAAGTTTGAAGATTATTGCATACCGAAGCAAAATACAACAATGCAGCGATAGAAATTTAATAAACGCGTGCAAGGCAAAACCAAATCAGTTGACCAATATGTTACTGAACTACGGCTTTTGGCGAAAAACTGTCGTTTTGAAGAACTACAAGAAGAGTCAATTCGGGGTTGAATCATTTGTAGCATAAAATCGGACAGACTTCAAGCTCGATTGCTTCGAGAAGACGATTTAACTTTAGACAAATGCTAATGGTAGCATATGCTAATGGTAGCATATGCAAAGCAGACGAAGAATCGCGTAAACAACTTAAAGACCTGACGAAAGACGACAGTTTTAAAGTAAATTCAGTGAAGAATAGGTCAAGAAAAGGGAGTAATGACAGCAAACCAGCGAAGTTTAAGCGAGAAAAACAGAAAATATCCTCGGGCGAAGTAATAAAATGCAGCAAATGCGGGCGAGACCATCCAAGCAAGCAATGTCCAGCACATGGCAAAGTCTGTCATGCATGCCGAAAACTAAATCACTTTGCGAAGTGTTGCCGCTCAAGGAAAGTACATGGAATTGATCAAACGCATACAGATCCGGATATTCTATTTGTTGGAACGGTTGATAAGAAACCCGAACAGTCGACTAAAACAGAATTGACGAAAGACGAGTGTTTTATAACTCTAGAAGTTAACGAAACACCGATCAAGTTTAAAGTTGACACAGGATCTAAAGCGAACATAATTCCCATGTCGACTTACCGAGAATTGAAAGAGCCTAAAGAACCCATTCAAACATCAAAGACCTCATTGACAAGCTACACTGGTGATAAACTTAACGTTGTTGGCAAATGCACGTTGAAATGTATACGAACAAGTCGCTGAACTTTTTCGTGAGCGAAACAGATCAATATCCTATACTTGGTTTTCAAGCGTCGCAAGAACTCGACATAATCAAGGTTGTGATGAGCACTAATAAAGAGAGAGATCTTAAGGAGAAATACTCAGATGTATTCAAAGGCTTGGGGTGCCCGAAGGAGCCATATCACATTGAATTGGATCCGGAGGTATCACCTGTAGTAAATGCAGCGAGAAAAGTTCCTGTAGCAATAAAAGGTCGTTTAAAGCTTGAGTTAGAAGAAATGGAGAAGCAAGGAGTTATTCGTAAAGTGGACAGACCGACTGACTGGGTCAACTCAATTGCAATAGTGGAGAAACCAGGTACGGGGAGACTACAAATACGCCTAAACCCGAAGCATCTAAATGAAGCAATCGGTAGAAGAAATAGCGTCTCGGCTCTCGGGTGCGAAAGTGTTCTCCAAACTAGATGCAAGACATGTTTATTGGCAGATACCATTGGATGAGCCAAGCCTACTTCTAACGACGTTCAGCACACCATTTGGCAGATATTGTTTCACGAGAATTCCTTTCGGCATTAAATCTGCGCAAGAAGTTTTCCAGAAGAAAATTTCGCAGCATCTTGATGGAAGGCGTAGCCACTGATATTGATGACATACTCATTTGGGGATCTGATGAACAGGAGCATGACGCACGATTAGAAGACACCCTACAACGATGTGAAGAAATAAACCTCACATTAAATGTAGACAAGTGCAAGTTCAAGGTGAAAGAAGTATCGTATTGTGGTCACAACCTTACGAAAGTGAAACCTGACGAGTCGAAGATTAAAGCAATTCAAGATATGCCAACACCATCGTCGAAGGAGATTGAAAGATTACTTGGAACTGTAAATTACTTAGCAAAATTTGTACCTAACCTAGCAACGATAACAGCGCCAATCAGCAAACTGGTGAAGAAAGAGATCGAGTTCTATTGGTCGCACGAGCAGACGAAAGCTTTTGATGAGATTAAAGAAATTCTTACCCGGCAATCAGTTCTCAAGTTTTTTTATCCAACTAAACCGGTTATAGTGCGTTGTGATGCCTCGCGGAATGGACTTGGTGCAGTTCTGATCCAGGAAGAACAACCAATTGCCTATGCGTCTCGTTCCATGACTGAAGCAGAAACTAGATACGCACAGATTGAGAAAGAACTACTCTCTGTTCTATTTGCTCTTGAAAGATTCAACGCGTACACCTATGGAGTGAAAGTCCTTGTTGAAAATGACCATAAGCCAACTTGAGATCATTTTAAAGAAATCCTTACATGATGAATTCGCAGATAGAAGAAATGGTCTTGAAATGTCTTACCTGTCTAGAATATCGACCATGCATCAAACCAGAAAGAGCCCATGATTGTTCAACCAACTCCCACGATTCCATGGGATACTGTCGCCACTGATTTGTTCTACTGGAACAATTCTAGCGAGTTCGAAGTTAATAACTAAGAAAACCCTTCAGAAACTGTATCATGACAGAGGCTCAAAAGAACTTCCTACAATATCACAAGGCGAGCAAGTTCGCATAAAGCAAGGAAAAGTATGGAATCCAGCTGTGGTAACTAGTCAAGCACACACACCAAGGTCATATATCGTGCAAAGTCCAGATGGAAGCACTTAAAGAAGAAACAGGAAACAAAATCTCAAGACGAAAGAAGGAAATTCACAGTCATTTGGAATAGAAAATTGTGATGATCCCATTAGTCAAAAAAATGAAAAGGATGTAGTTGGTACAGAACCAGCAAGTGATGGTGATAATGCAGTATCTACAGAAGAAATATCAGAGGAACAATTACCGGTAACACTTGATAAACAATTTAGTGCATCTCCACTAAAGACTAGAAGTGGAAGAATAATTAGGAAACCAAATACGTTTAAGGACTATTAGTTAGGAACATTAGATAATAGACAATTAATTTAACTTTAAATCAATTAGATAATTTTAGAACAATAGTGACTTTGAAAAATAAAAAAAGTATATAGATTAGTATAGTATACTTTTTCTTATTTAAGAAGAGGGATGTTCTATTAAAGTTTCACATGCTAATTTATGCATAAACTTAGTTATATAAGAATTGCCGTACTCACGTTAGTGTTATTATAATAAATGTTACACATACGAATGAACAAACATAACAGGTGCATGCCCCTGGAACTCCTCCAGAGGTCTGTCACGCCTAAGCCGCCTCTCATTTGCAAAGACGAAAATATTTCTTTTCTCGGAAACGTAAATTGCAAACTAATGTATAATCAAAGTCTAAGCGTAACCAAACAATTACCTGAGCTTGAAGCTTCACCTGAGGTTTCATTTGGCGATACAAACGTCGAGCTGTCTACTGCCATAGCTGCATCAGGCACTTGAAAAAACGGATGAAACAATTAAACATAGGGGATATAAGGCAGCGCGAATTAATATATGCATTCTATTTCGAGTAGTAAATATAAGAATATCATGTGTGCCAGAGACACCATTAATGTACTATAAAGTTGAATTTATGCAGTTACAGTACGGTATAGTGGACATTTGTACCTACAGTTATACCTTGTATCTTTCAAAACTACAGTTTCGACAACGATATCAGTATCCAGATATTACAATATAAAGAACATATTTATTAAATCAGTCCCTTAATGTGTGGTGCTTGTTTTTGCTAACCAAACAGATTTTTACAGAGACAGTGATTTTCATTTGCTTAATACCAACGATTGTGCGCAATTCTAAGTCAGAAATTTTGCTATATAGACTATAGTACAGTCTAAAACCTTGCTAACTGTATTCACATACGTCATATAAAGTAATAAATGTTTTTATAATATAGCATTTGTAAATTCTGAACGCTGATTGGCTGAGAACTGTGTTGATATAACTCAATGTCAACACGGAAACGTCGGAAAATTTCTTTCTTTATGTTTCTTTGTGCTATATTATAAAACAAATATAAAACATTTTTTCCGTATTGATATACAGTTATATCAACACTCGTGGAAATTGGGAAAACTCGAAATTGTGTGAACACACTCCGCCCTTCGACCACGAAGAAAAAAGAATAAAAAAATTAATAAAATAGAGGAGCGAGCAGGATTCGATCCGCGAGCTGGCGCATACAACGCGGGTGCCTAAACCACAACACTTCAGAGAATTTGCTTGAAATTCAATTAAATTTACGCGCTTTTATTTTTAACGAGTTTAATTAATGATTATGGAAATGTCGGACCTATAACCACTTCCTTTAATTTTTTTCTCTCGTCCCAGACTCCTCACTCTTAAATACAGACAGCGTAGCTCTGGGTGAAAAAAAGTTCGCAATGCATTATCGGCGAATTGAAACATTCGGTTAATTAGAAAGTACATTAAGCAAATTTACACATTTAGTGAACAAATAGTTTGACAAATTTATTAATTTGACAAATTTATGTTTTTGGTGAATTTCGAAACAGCCGATTGGCAAATTTACACACATGCGTTTTCAAACATTCGATGAATTTGAAAGTAGATTAGGCGAATTCACACATTTAGTGTGACTTATATGTAAAGCAGATCAAAGTTATTTGATTTATATGTAAGGTAGTATCAAAGTTATCTGTCAGTAAAAATCGGAACTAAAATGCGCTGCGTTGTCGAATCTTGTTTGGTGCTTTAAGAGTTAGGAGTCAATACTAAAACAATTAGATAATTAACTCGGCCTCGATCTTTATGGCAATTGGCAATTTCATTCCAATCAAAAAGAATAATTACCTTTTGCGTCTTGCGTTTCTTTGTTGCGAGGCCAATATCGTAGCACAATAGAGTATTTGAACATATTGTATATGACAGATACCGCCATTGCGGTAGCAAATGACTGCCAAGGTTCTGTCATGTCTTCACTTCCTGCAAAACTCGATACTCCTTTTACAACAGCCCATTCCACCTTAAGATCATTTGCTGCTGCATATATACCTAAAATTTAAGCACAAAATGGATAGATAGATATGATATATATGCCATGTGAGGCCTCTCTCCTCCGCAGAGACTTTTAAAGGATCAATTTTTTAGGAGAATTTCGTAATTAATTGCGCTAGAAGGTAAGAAAAGGTGAAAGTAACTGCTATAATTTGGTGCAGCAGAGGAGATGTGAAAACGTGTTTATTTTATAGATATTCCTCAGTGGTGGTGCCAGGGTAGTAGGGAGACACCTCTAGGAGGGTCCGGGGTTATGCACTCCGGGGAAAATTTTGAAATCTACAGTCCCTGAAATGCGATTTTCAGTATTTTGGGGGTAAGATTATACAGAGTATAAAGTACATAAAACACAAGGTAACCCCCCCCCCCTTCTCAATGTATTCGCTCAGATGAATTAAGAAAATCCATCTTGAAGAGAACTGGGGTTACCTCAATCTCATTCCCTGAGCATGCCCGTTCGCAGGTTAAGGGTGGGCATAGCTCTGGAGAAATGGAATTGATTCACGTTGCATTTCCAACGTGAGTTGTACTCATGCTCGGCAATTGTTGCAAAATATAAACAAAGTATTTAGAATTTCTCGTAAAAAATTTGATACTTTTTCACTGAAATAGGCTGTTGCGATATTGAAAAAATACCGAATATCAATATCGAAAATAAGTATCGATATTATCGATATTTTTTCAGTTTTCATATTATTTTTGATATTATATTTACATTTTGCAGGAAGCGCATTCCTGTATACTTCTTTAAGGGCACTGACATTGTAATTTGTAAAACTATATGACCGGTTCAATTCCTTTTAATATAAATATACCTACTCGCTTAGAATCTTTGCAACGCGCGTAAAATTATAAGTCAGGTGCCGGTGTCACAGGAAATTTGCCCCCCCCCGAAAATCCCCCCCGAAATTTGCCCCCCCCCCTTCGGAAATTTGGCCCCCTCGAAAAAAAACATAGTTTACTTTATCGCTATAAGCTCGGAAATCATTATTATTATTATTATTGTCTTTATTAGGGTCCACTACAGTATATGTACAAAGTCTAATTATAAAGTCTAATTATTCGGAGACCCTAAATGGGCGAGGCGCAAACGGGACTCGAAGAACCATGCAAGGCACCTGCCCAAACTTAGTAAAAATTTACTGTTCTGATAGAAAATCTATACTGTTCTAGTAAACCTCGGAGGTGCATACGCCTCATAAAATCGAGGGTTAGTAAATCACCCAGTTGCTTCCCACAATGCATTGTATTCCTATTTAATGAACGAACTGCGGGAAACAACTGGTACAAATCGTAAAATGCACCCACTCAAGGTTTACAAACTATATTATGTTGTGTTATGTTTATATTATATATTATACAATGGTATTCTTAAGTTAAACGTTTATTATTACATAATGTTAATAAACAGTTAGGACCTGTGGCAAGGACAGTCCCGAGTCAAAGACCACGTGCAAGACACGTCTGCGTCGTAAATAGAGTTCATAACTAAGTTTGAATATTTTTGCTTGAGATAACATTTAAAAGAACTAGGTCTAGAGAAACTGTCAAGAGATACTTCTTGAGATACAGTGTTACAGATATTGACAATACGGTTGTAGTAGGAGGATTGAAAAGTGGTAGTTTTACACAGTGGGTTTTGAAGGATATACTCAGAGGAAAGACTCAATCGAGTACGACCATGGCTGACAAACGACACATAGTTACTCAAGTTCACGTTTATAAAACCAAATAAAGCTTTATAAAAGAATGTTAAGTCCTTCATTTCTCTATCGTAACTTAATGGTAGCAGGTTTAACGACGACAGCCGTTCTTTGTAAGGCATCTCTCTGTTCATTAGTATCCACTTGGTTGCCCTCCGTTGGACTTTCTCTACTTGTCTTGATAGCTGAACGTTGTTAACCGGTGACCACACCTCCGAAGCATACAACAACTGGGACTTCACAAGTGACAGATACAAAGTTCGCCGGGTGTTCATGTCTGTAATACTAGTACAGGTTCTTTTAAGTATACCTAACATTTTGTTGGCCTTCGCAACAATGTTTATGTGTAGTTTCCATGAGAGTTTTGTAGTAGTCGTAATACCAA